TATAATTTATATTTATATTAAGATGATAAATTTTATTTTATATCTTGTTTTTAATTCTTGTTGATAATAGATCTGTTCTACATCTCGTAGCTTAAAAAAATAATAAAAAAATTTATCTTTATGTAAAACTTTATTGAATATATATACATACGAATTAATTATTTGGTTTATCGACGGAGCACTAATGTATTTGCTTATTTAAATAGTGACTATAGAATTCAAAGAGTTTTCGGTAGATAGATACATAAGATAGATGTTATAAGGTCATTGACAATCTACTTATTATTTCGTTTAAGATATCGAGATGTACAATCCAATAGAATTCCTTCAACTATAATGACGTTTCAATGAGTAACGAATTGAACTATTGGGGGCGTTCGCTGACCATTACTGCATACTACTTGATGACTCTCGTGTGTGTTCAGCATTGTAAGAAGAAAACATTGTTTTGGATTTGTGTGCAGTAAAACTCGTCACTATACAGTAATGACGTCCCGCCTGGAAAAAGAACGTTCCAAGCAAATACAAGAGAAATGTCAAAATCTTTTGATACAGATGCTACGTGACGAAGATAACAAGTATTGTGTCGACTGCGATGCAAAAGGTTCGTGCATCAATTGTATATTTTCTAGCAATGTCTTGTCTCTGTTCAATTGATGAACCCTCATTATATTATTCACTCCTTACGAACGTTATAGAATTATATTTTTATAAGTAATGATGCATTTATGGCATCAATATTGATTTGAAAACGACCTAGTTTTGTCTACTAAGATATTATAGATTTTTAATTCTTCTATGATAAAACCTTAGATGACAGCAACTTCGAGTAAACGTCACTTTATTTTCTTAGTTTATCATTTCTTATTTTGAATATATTTTTCTATTTCTATTTTTTAATAAAAGATTTTTTATGTAAACAAAATTTTTTTATTTTATATATTTTATATTACAATAATAAATCTTTAGAACAATAACAAAATCTCTAGAATTATAACCTGAATCCTTAAATTCTTCCAAATGCTTAATTTTTAATTTGTATTATTTTATTTATTTTGATATTTAAATTCTATAAAAATAAAGTGTTATAATAATACATTCTTATATTATTGAATAAAAAAAACATATTTTTTTATATATAATAACATTTATATGTTACATAGGACCAAGATGGGCTAGTTGGAATTTAGGTATATTCTTATGTATTCGTTGTGCTGGAATACATAGAAATCTTGGAGTTCATATAAGCAAAGTTAAATCTGTTAACTTAGATACTTGGACACCAGAGCAAGTAGTGGTATGTTTATAGTTATGTCTTTATGTTTCAAATTATCAATATTTTTTGATAATTTGATAATTAATTATTGATAAAAAGTACGTATTATCAAAAATTGCATCACATTTTTATTTTATAGAGTTTACAACAAATGGGTAATTCCCGTGCACGGGCAGTATATGAAGCAAATCTTCCAGATAGTTTTCGAAGACCTCAAACAGTTTGCAGTCTTGAAAGTTTTATTCGTGCAAAGTATGAACATAAAAAATATATAGCCAGAGAGTGGGTACCACCTCCTTTACCAAAGGTAATACATTAAAATTTTAATAAAATATATTATATTCATATAGTATATATATCTTTAATCTTACAAACTTTTTTTAATAAATATATAGGTTAATTGGGATAAAGAGCTTGATGAAGAAGCAGAAAGACAACGTAGAAGGAAAAAGGAAAATTCTAAAACATCTAATAATCAAGCTATACTTCCACCTGTAAAAAAGTCAGAAGTAGTGCCTCAATTGCCAAAACCTAAAAGTTCTATTAGTCCTAAACTTAATAGAGCAAATAATTCTGCAACCCTAGATTTACTAGGCTTAGGTATATTTTTTTTAAATATATACTTCATTATTAATATATAAAATAATATATAAAATATTTATATTTTTTAAAAATTTTTAACAGATGCCCCGGCAACAAATCAAACAAATATAAATGGTGCTGGAGATGATATATTTTCTTCCTTTTTATCTGCACCTCCAGCTTCAGTAGCTTCAACAACTAATAATACTTCTAGTACAACTACAAGTGTATCAACAACAATAAGTAAAACTGAAGAAGAAAGTTTCTTTGATCAACCAGCACCATCACTTCAAGAAAAAAATAAAATGTCCAAAGATAGTATTTTAGCCTTGTATGGTACATCAAGTAATCAACAATCAACAATGTTTGGAGTTCCTGGTACATTTATTTATTCATTACTATGATCAAAATATTGATTCAATTTTTTTTATATTATTCTTATTTAGGTGGAATGTATGCTCAACAATCTACTGTTCAATATAAACAAGTACCAACTGTAGTACCATTTGGTCAACAAACTAGTTTTCCAAATCAACAAAGTTCCTTAACTCAACTTAATCAACTTTCCAACCAAATATCTATTACATCCAATCAATTACCTATCAATCAAAATCAAATTACAATGAATTCTACTCCATTAGGACCAGTGACATCAAATTCTTTAGGAAACTGTTTACATGTAGGCCAGATAAATCAGATGAATGGTGTACCCAATCCTGCCATTACAATGCAATCTCAAATGGTATATATAATATATATTAATATATTATAAGTATTATTTTATTTGTTAATACATTATTTAATTCATATATTATTAGGTAATGCAATTAGGGCAATCTAATATTAATAGTAATAATGGTTGGAGTGGAATGTTAACACAAAATCTTCAACCAGCTCCTGGTAGTAATCCTTTTTTTAATTTAACATCACAACAGCAGCAACAATCTATTGCATTTGGTTCTCAGGTATATAAATTCAAATGTGTAATATAATAATATTGAAATAATAAAAATTATAAATATATTCATATATTTCAGTTACCACAACAAATGGCACAACTTTCTTTAGGTGCCACGAGTTTTTCAAGTACATCAGGAAAATCCACTACTACTGCACTTCCCGGACAAACGCTTTCTACCAATTTGTGGCAGTAAAAGTTTTATGAATATTATTAGTTGATTGATTATTTCATTCAGTGTTGTACACTAGTGTCAAACGTTTGTTATCCAATATGATTATATTTCCATATTAGTTTGGAAATTGCTCTGGGATATAATACAACAAAGACACAAATAAGAAGTACTCAAATACTATCATTTTCGAAAAATAATTCGTGAATGCATATAGTATTTTGAGTCTAAGAGATTTCTCTTTTAAAGCTTTGCTAGCTTTCAACATTATTGTTGGAAAAATGGGAACTACAAATAAAAATGAATTTTTGACTGATTGTAAAGAGTTATTCGTGACGTACAGTATATATATTATATATTCGATGATGTAATTGTATTATTTGCTAAAATGGGTGCTTTTGTAATCATGACAAGTGTATATCAGGGTCCACTTTCATTATAGCAAAAGATTTCATTATATTTAAACAAGTACAAGCATCTTTAATATAATAATTAGTAGTTCATTTTTACTTCAAAATATACAAAAAAAAAAACAAAATATATAACAATTTTCACGAATGTAAAATTCTTTAACAAATTATATATAAAAAAACTACTTTATTTAAAAAGGAATTTGAATTATTTAAGAACAAATTTTTTTTCTAGAATAATGTTGCAAGATTTGTATGCAAAAATGTATTAAATATTTTAAATATTTGATTGCTATTTTTATGTATTATTAGTACTGAAATTGAAAAAATGATATTTTGTGTTTAAAAAATTAACTGTTGTTGTTTGTACTTGAGTAGTATGTTGTTTAGAGTGATAAATCACAATATTGATTATATATTAAAAAACATTAAGAGTTTAATATTCTTTCAAGAATAAGTCTAATTTAAGTCTAATTAATACTTTTTATTAAAATGCATTTAATATTTTTATTATTATCTTACAGAGACTTAATGAACTAAATATATTATTTACATCTTAATTATAGCATATATGATATACTATAAAAACTTGTGACTTGAAATTTATGCATTTAAAATTGAATTTTAATTTTGATTGATTGATTGATTATTATTAATTAAAACTTCATATAAAACAGAATTACATATATATTTTCATATTTTTTAAGTATAATTTGTTATATGATATTGAAATTCGACAATAATTTCTGGACATATTCGTCACGATTATGTTATTTTATTATTTTATTTTTTTTATATTATTATTTAAATTGTAGTAATCAAGTTAAACTTTCTAACTTGTTGCTGCATTGAAATATTTTAAGATATTATAAATCTGATGAGTACAAATACATGTTGTCAAAATATATAAAAATTTATAATACATAATTTATAACTATATAACTAATTTATAATATATAATTTATAAAAACCAAAATAACAATTGAACAATCAATCAATTTTAAAAAGTTTTTAATTCCATGATAGTTACATAAAATAATAATTTAAGAAATAATTATAATATAATATATTCATTATTTTTATTAAGTATATAAAAATATATTAAAAACGTGCTTAAATTCAAAACGCCATCTATTAATAGATAAATTATAATGATAACAATATTTGTTTAAAATAATTTTTTTTTAATAATTTTTATTTTTACAAAGTATATCTTACTAATTATAAACATATTTTTATATTATCTATTTTTTTATTTTATTTAATTAAACACATTGATAATTTTGCTGGATAAACAAGCCGGAAGTTGCCATTTTTATTACTGGATTGTAAAGGTTCTTTCATTTCCGTAAAACATCTCTTCTGTCCTTTCAAAGACACGTGAGACAACATGGATAAACCAGTAGTTTTGGCTCGTGTTATAAAAGTTTTGGGACGAACAGGTTCACAAGGACAATGTACGCAAGTAAAAGTCGAATTTTTGGGTGAACAAAATCGACAAATTATCAGGAATGTAAAAGGACCAGTACGAGAAGGTGATCTCTTAACCTTACTGGAATCTGAACGTGAAGCAAGAAGACTTCGATAAATAGAAGAATTTATCTCCGACACATAAAAATCTTCTATAGTGTCTGGATTCTATTTTAATACAATATTACAATTCATTCCATCAACAAAAATGAGGATCACCAATTATTCCAATAGCACAGATAAACTCAGTATGGCCAAATTTTTAATCATCTAATTTTTACATATATATGTCAATGAAGATGTTACAATCTCTGTAATAAATATTGATTAATGAGTAATCAATACCAATTTTTGCTTTATCTATTTTCATAACATATGATTTTTATTGTAATCATTAGATTACTTAATAAATTATACTGATTACCTTAATATTGTTTTTTTTTTGCGAAAAAAATTATAAATTTTAATAAACATTTAATACTTTTTTTGCATTACAGAATATTTACAATGACTTAATGTAAATCTTTTTTATAAAATTAAATTTTAAAGTATTAGTTATCATGTGTTTCATGTACAGAAAAATACATGATTCACATTTTATTCTTATATTAAAATTCAAACAATGTTTATACAATGTACATATAATAACTTAAAATAAATTGTTATATTCTCCTTCGTTTTGGTGGAGGTGTATCACGTGGACTAGAGGATGCTTTAGATGTGCAATCCACACTTTGTCTTGTTGGTCGTTTTGGACCTCTCTTTAAGCTTTCTCGGACAGAATCAGAATCTTTACGTTCCTTTTTACCATTTGAAGCTAAATAAAGAAATTATTTAATTTCTTCTAGTCTCTAAAAATCATTTAAAAATATCAAAAATATATATATATATTTTTACCTATTTCTTCAACATCATCCTTTCCTTTTGATCGTCCTTTAGGAGATTTATAATCTTTCCTAATATCTTTAATTTCTCTGAGTTTATCTTTTTTGAGTTCTATGTCTTTTACATATTTTTTAAATTCTTCCTTTTTTTTATCAATATCTTTACTTCCTTTAAGATCACGAAGAACAGTATCTTTTTTCATAATATCCTTAAAATCTTTTTCTTTCTTAAGTTCTTTAAATTTATCTCTTTGTTCTTTTAGCTTTAATTCTGGTTCTTCTCTCTTTCGAGATTTAATTGGTCCCAAAAATTCTTGTTCTGGTAAAGAAAAATCTATCTCTTGACTGGGAAATGGTAAATCTTCCATATCATCCTATAATAGTTTAAATAAATCATCAAGATTATTTTAATTGATTATAATTAATTTTTTAAAGTAATAGTAAGTACCAGAGCCATTAGATCATACATTGATTCTAAATGTTCCCAAATTGTTTTTAATGATACATCCTTGTGAATTGCAGCACGAAATTTTTCCCATATGCAAACCATGTGAAAATATTTATTAATACCTTAAAAAAAATTTAACGAAATCTAATTAAATCTTCTTTTATATAAAATTAGATATTTTATATAATATTAAATATTTATTTTTTTTTTGTTTCATCGATGTAAATATAACCTAGAACAATGTTATTATATGAATCTAAATCTTACCAACGGGTTTATGACCATTCATAGCAAAGAATAATTGAATTTCATTTTCAATATTCCATTCTATTTCGTCAGTAGAAGTATCCGTTTGCTTTTCTTTAACTGCCATTGTTTATATTCATAAAATTATATGATGTACCAATTTTATAACACCCACATACTTTAGTTAATAGCACTGCAAGCAGTGTAGCCAAATGCTCTAATCCTGATAGTTTTGGAAATGACATGTCATTATTATTTTAAAAAAATAGAATGAATGAATTGAATTAATATAAACAATTTATTTTTACTAAACTAAAACTAATTATTAAAATAATTATAAAGACGATAATTATTATCAAACCATAATAATTTATAAAAACATAAAAATAATATTTATTTTGGTATTTGGTATGTATAAAAAATTAGTATATAAAAATATGCATAAAAATTTAATATATATATTAAAGTTAATACTATTATTAATAATATTTTTATATTTTTATATTTTAGATTTAACTCCACAGTATCATATTGAAATAAATCCATCATTTTTATATTAATAATATACAATATGCATGAAAGTATAGATGACATATGTAAAGCTATTGATGAAAATTTATTGCGTAATTTAGAGCTAATAGAAGAAAAAATTAATATCAATGTCCAAATGGAAAAAATATTGCGTGATGGTTACATTGAATTAGCTAAAGCCAAATACATACGTGGTAAAGAAAGTATAAGTGTTTTACAGATTCCAGTTGATGATGACAGAGTAGTTACATTATTTGAATTAGAAACAAAATTAACTGAGGAAACTGGAAAAATAATTCCAAATTTTGACATAAGTTTAAAAAAGTTAGATAAAATTGAAAATGAGATTCAAGATCCTATAAAATGGTTTGGAGTATTGGTCCCACAGAGTTTACGAATTGCACAAAAACGTTTTCAAGAATCTCTTTATCTTATTGTAAGAGCAGCAAATATACAAGCAGAAATTACTTCTGTAGTAGACAAATTACAATCTTTATATTTTTTAAAACATACTTCTTGTTCAACAAATGTCAGTAAAAAATAAAAATTATACAAATTTTATTGTTTTATTTTGTTTTATTATATATTATTATTTTTATAAAAAAAATTTATATCATAAGTATCTTTGTACAACAATTTATATTATATCAACTATTTACAATTAATTAAAAATGAATTAATGAAAATACATGTAACAAATTTCATTATCCAATAATTTCATTTATTTTGTATTTGTAAAGAATTTCTACTATTGGTCAATTATAGTTATTTATTAAGAAATGTTGGCATGACTAAATAAGTCTTAAAGAAATTCCCGCCAATTCATACATACTTTTTAGTTTAAGCTTAAAGTAAAAAGAAAGAAGAATTATTCTTATTAATAAGTATTTTTATTTACGGACTTGTTTGATTGTCGCTATATTTCGATATAATGGTAAGATATTAAAAACATTATAATTTTTAAATTTGTAAAATATAATTTATATTTATAAGAAAAAACATTATTTATATTTATATTTAAATCAATTATTTTAAAATATAATATTGATAAATAAATTAAAAAAATTTTATTTTTTACTTTAATTTAATTTAATTTTCATTGATTTCTTCAATCATTTTTTATATAAAATATATATATATTTATATATATATGTTTATTAGGATTCTAGTCCAGCACGTTCTGATAGACATACAGAAGCAATGACATCTCCTGCACCAGAAATAGATGAACCATTTGAAGATGAATCTGATTTACTTGGCAATGACAATGATGTTAATCAGGAAGAAGAAGAAGAAGGGGAGGAATTATTTGGGGATAATATGGAAGCGTAAATTTTTATTTTTATTATTTATTTATATTATTTTTTTATTATATAAAAATACTATATAATATGAAATTTGATTTAATATTTTAGTGATTATCGTCCTATGCCAGAATTAGATAGATATGATCCAGATGTAGTAGATGATGAGGATTATTCAGAAATGTCTCAAGGAGAACGTGCAGCTGCTGAAGCTGCTATGCATAAAAGAGATCGGGCAGCAGGCATTATCAGAGATGATAGATATTTACTTTATGGTATTTTTTTAGTTTTATAATGATAATAAATATATTTTTTCAAATATAATATATATTTTTACATATTTAAGATGAAAGTGATGAAGAAGAAATGCAAACTCGTAAAAGACGTATGGCTGAAAAAGCAGCAGTAGGTGAAATTGAAGACACAGAAGTAAGATTCTTATCTGCTATCATATATCACTTATTTTATTATTACATAACAATATTTTATCTGTATATTTATTTTTATATTTTATTTATTTACAGATGATTGAATCTATTGAAAATTTAGAAGATACTAAGGGTCATTCAGTTAAAGAATGGGTGTCTATGTTAGGACCCAAAACTGAAATTTCTAATCGTTTTAAAAGTTTTCTTCGTACACATACTAATTCAAAAGGACAATACATGTATAAAGAACGAATTCGTCATATGTGCGAGAGTAATCAAGTATATTTTCTATTATTAATTCTCTAATAATAATCATATTAAGATATAAAAAAAATTTGTTATTTTTTAATAGTCTAGCTTTATTGTGGAATTCCCTATACTTGCTAGTAAAGAACATGTATTGGCATATTTTTTACCAGAAGCACCGTTTCAAATGTTAGAAATATTTGATGAAGTAGCAAAAGAATTGGTATTAACTATATTTCCTAGTTATGAAAGAGTTACAAGTGAGATTCATGTTAGAATATCAGAATTACCATTGATAGAAGAAATTCGTACATTTAGGTAAAATATAGTTATTTATATTTTTTTATAAAGTATATTATTTTATAAGAAATAATATATAATATAATATAATAAAAATTAGGAAATTACATTTAAATCAACTAGTCCGTACTCTAGGAGTTGTTACTGCAACAACAGGAGTATTACCACAATTGTCTGTTGTAAAATATGATTGTACAAAATGTGGATATATACTTGGTCCTTTTGTACAAAATCAAAATACTGAAGTTAAACCTGGTTCATGTCCTGAATGTCAAAGCATTGGACCCTTCATGGTATATATTATATTATTTATATATTTATTAAATTTATTTTGTATATTTATATTTATATTAATTACAGATTAATATGGAGCAAACAATATATAGAAATTATCAAAAAATTACGATTCAAGAATCACCAGGCAAAATTCCTGCAGGAAGAATTCCTAGAAGTAAAGAATGTATTCTTTTATCAGATCTCTGTGATCGTTGTAAACCTGGGGATGAAGTAGATGTTACAGCTATTTATACAAATAATTATGATGGTTCTTTGAATACAGAACAAGTAAAAGTTATTTAATATGCTTATTTTAAAAAATGTTATGTTAATTACTTAATATTTATTTATTATTTAAGGGTTTTCCAGTATTTGCAACGGTTCTTCTTGCTAATCATTTACAAGTAAAAGATTCTAAAGAAATTGTAGAATCTTTGACTGAAGAAGATGTTTCTAGTATTATTGGTTTAAGCAAAGATCATCAAATTACTGATCGCATTATTGCAAGTATTGCTCCTTCAATTTATGGTCATGAATATACAAAGAGAGCTTTAGCATTAGCAATATTTGGAGGAGAGCCAAAAAATCCTGGTATTTTCATTTTCAATATTGCTTTCTACATATTTTTTTCTATATAATAATTTATACAAAATTCTTATAATTTAGGTAACAAGCATAAAGTCAGAGGAGATATCAATGTGTTATTATGTGGAGATCCAGGAACAGCTAAATCTCAATTCTTAAAATATGTTGAAAAAATTGCACCAAGATCAGTATTTACAACAGGTCAAGGAGCTTCAGCTGTAGGATTAACTGCTTTTGTAAGAAAATCACCAACAACTCGTGAGTGGACATTAGAAGCTGGTGCCTTAGTTCTTGCTGATCATGGAATTTGTCTTATTGATGAATTTGATAAGGTACATTTTGTAAAATATTTATGATAGAATATAAACATTATGTTTTATATTATATTTTTAGATGAATGATCAAGATAGAACATCTATTCATGAAGCTATGGAACAACAAAGTATTTCCATTTCAAAAGTTGGAATTGTTACATCACTTAATGCTAGATGTTCAGTAATAGCTGCATCTAATCCCATTGGAGGAAGATATGATGCTAGTATGACATTTTCAGAAAATGTAAGATACATGAATATAAAAAAAAAAATATATTAAATTTATATTTTTATACTTTTTTTCTTTTTTTATTTAGGTAGATTTATCAGAACCAATTTTATCTCGTTTTGATATTCTTTGTGTGGTAAAAGATGAAATAGATCCTATGCAAGATCGACATTTGGCTAAATTTGTTGTAAACTCTCATATAAAACATCATCCAACAAATGCAGGAAAAGTAATATCTACTATAGATAATACAAATGATATATCTATTCCACAAGATCTTTTAAAAAAATATATAGTTTATGCACGACAAAACATTCATCCTAAATTAACGAATATTGATCAAGATAAAGTAGCAAAATTATACAGTCAATTAAGACAAGAAAGTTTGGTAAGTTAGAAATATTTATGTAGTATTTATAAAAATTCTTAGAAATATATATTCTAACGATTAATAGGCCACTGGAAGTTTACCAATTACCGTACGACACATAGAAAGTATTATACGTATGGCTGAAGCAAGTGCTAAAATGCATTTGCGTGATCATGTTCAAGAAACTGATATCAATCTTGCCATTAGAATGATGCTTGATAGTTTTGTTGATACACAAAAATATTCAGTAATGAAAAGTATGCGCCAAGTAAGTACAAAATATTGCAAATATAATAAATATAATATAATAAATACAACATATACAATTTTATTGAAATTGTAACAAATGTTTTATTATTTTTTAGACCTTCCAGAAATATTTATCATTCCAGAAAAATCATACTGAACTTTTATATTATATACTTAGACAGCTTACATTAGATACTTTAGCGTTTCAAAAAGCTATTCGCGGAAATCGTATTACAACAATTGAAATTTCGGAAAAAGATCTATTAGATCGGGTATAAATTATTTATTTATTTTATAAATTTGTAAATTTCAATAATTAAAGTCTTTCTTTTCTTTTAGGCTAAACAAATCGATATACACAATCTTCAACCATTTTATGAAAGTGATATTTTCAAATCAAATAATTTTATTTATGATTCAAAAAGAAAAGTAATAATACAAACACTTCCTGAAACTATTGATGACTGAAAAAACACTAAAAATAATTAGGAATGCAATCATAATTTTATTTACAACATGATATTGTTCATCATATTAACATAATTTTTACAATGAATTATATTTTGATATATTAGTTCAATAAAAAATTAATTTGTTTTACTAAATTTTATAACACTTATATTTCTTGATTTTATATAAGTAAATACTTTCTAATTTATGAAAATGTTCTTGGTACAAAATTATGACCTTGTTTAGTTACAAATATTGATATAATTAAGAAGTATTGTATCATAATATATATAAATAACAAAATTCTATTACAAGACGCGTTATATAAATTATTATTTAAAATTATGTTACATGTAAGTACTTTTTAGATATCTTAATTTTGTACAATGAAATTATTATATATATATATATTTATTTATTGTATATGAACTATTTAAATATTTCATAAATATTTAAAAAATGGATCTATTGAAAGATTTTTGTTTTTTTTATCTAAAATAGTTTAATTAACATTATATCTTTGTGAAAATAGAAAATTGTTACAATGGTTACTGTTTCTGCTACTACTACTACTACTACTGCTACTGCTACTACTACTGCTGCTGCTACTATCACTGCTACTACTAGAAACACTATCACTAGAGTCTGATTCACTATCTGAAGATGAACTACTAGTGCTACTATCATTGCTACTACTGCTGCTTTCAGCACTAGAATTTGTATTACTGGAACTACTAAATTCTCCTTTCATTTTTTTTTGTAAACGACTTTTTTTTACTTCTTTCTTCTGTTCTTCACTGTAAATATATAATTTATTAACATTATGTTTTTTGAATTTTAAAACTTGATAACTTAAATCATCTTTTATAAATTTACCTATTAGATTCTTGTTGTTTCATTAAAGCTTTCTTCAGTTGTGATGTACGTGAAGATCTATGTAAATATTTTCTCTTTCCTTTACATTCATAACTCCAATGTCCTATTTCTAGGCATTTTTGACATCGTATTTTTTGTGGATAAGAATTGCTATAGATGTTAATAGAAAATAGTTTAGATTATTTGTAATTATATGCTATGGTATATTTATTATTTTCTAATTTTAAACTTTTATAAAAATATATTGTATTTTATTAATTGTTGAAGAATGAAAAATTAAAAAATATTTCAAATTTATACTAACCTTTTTTTTAATGCTTTCAGACCGTTTGAACTCATGTTATATTTATATTCATACTTTAAAATATTTAATCCGTTAATTACATATATTCGATGCTGAATAAAATTTCGAATGAAGTTTGTTTATATACGAAAAAATAGGTTACTTTACTCAATAAGCTTCCATCACACACCATAATATAAATAGCTTTTGAAGATACTATATATACATATATATAGGTTATTTGACAATATTTTAATAAAAATCACCAATCAAGAATCACTACTAATATTATAAGACTAAAAAAAAAAAAAAAAAAAAAAAAAAAAAAAAAAAAAAAAAAAAAAATAGATATATAAAATTTTCTAATTTCTTAATTTTTATTATTCAATGAATCAATTATTTCTCACAATTTAAAAAATAAATTATGATAAATAGATATTTGCAGATAGCTTTTTAAAAAAAAATGATATTCTTATTTAATAATCACAGATTACATATAAAATAGAGCTATAATCTTATGAGATTTTATATTTCATGTTCTGTATTACCGATCATATCAGAAATTAAAAATTGTAACGTAGAAAAATATTTCAAATAAAAATAATATATGATATGTTCCGTATATTTGTAATTGTTACATTTAATTAGAATTTCTTTTATTTCAATAGAATTGTTATCAATTTATTCTATATCAATATCTCATGTGACATGAAAATAATAATAAATGATTATGTAGCTTCCAGATAATATAACATAAAAATGCATTCAATTATGAACATATTTATGATATATTTTTATAATAATTAATATGTATATCTATGTATAGTATGTACATACTAAAAAATTATGTCTTCTTTAGATGATGAACATTTAATAAAATACGTTAATAAAAATACAGAATTAAAGATTGTCAAGAATATTTTAAATATAAGAAATAATACTCTTCAACTCAAAAAAAAAACTTTTAAAGAAAAACATAAAGAATTGGTAAATTATTAATGAATAAAAATAAATTATTAATAAATTTAGAATTGTATACGCATACTATAAGATATAAATAAATAATAACATATAAATAACAAATAAAAAAATAATAACAAAATAAAATGATATGATAGTAATTAATTTTTCTGATAATTTTTAAAAAATCTTAAATAAATTAAAATTTTTTAAAAATTAATATATTAATTAAATTATATATATATTTTCAATTTTATACTGATTTAAAATAGATTGTCATTTTATAGGATAATATAAATTATAGTGTTTGGATTAAAGAAGATGAATTTTGTAATAAAATTTGGAATTTTTCTTTGATGCATAATTTTAATTCTATTTTTAATACAAATTCTGATATTACGGAATTAAACAAACTTCATGAATGTGAATATAATATAATCAATGAAAATTTAAAAGAAATCAATATGTATAATATAATATTGAAATTAAAAGATGAAATTAATATTATTAATAATCAAATAAATCTAATTTGTAATAAAAATATAGAAAAAGATTTAAAAAATTATAAATTTATTTTAGATAATTTAAAATTATTTTCAAAAGAATTATTAGAACTCATAAGGTATAATTATAATTAAATAAAGTAATATTTATGTTTATAAATATTTTGAATTAAAAAAAATTATTTATATATATATTAATTTTAGATTAATAACTACTACAGAAAATTCTTTGAATTTATGTAATATAAATATTAATCAGAAGTCAACAAGTATATCTGAAAGATTTATGAGTGCAAAAAAATTATTTGAAAAATCTACTTTTCATAATAATATTAAAGAAAATAAACTTTTATCTTGTTCTCCTAACATTATTGAAGAATCTAAAGAAGTATATAATATTATATATATATATTATTATTTATAGTATGATTTATTAAATATATTTTTTACTATATATATTCATATACACATTTTATATTATAGCGTTATAATATTAAAACCAATGTAAAATTTGGCAAATTTATTATGAAAAAACGTAGTCATATTTCTCTTAAATTTGAAAAAAATGTAAAAAATTCGGAATAAGAAGAAAAAATTAATAACATTATAAAAAAAAAATGTATATTTAATTTCTTAAATAATTCAATATATTTTTAACATATTATAAAAAAAAATTTATATGTAATAAAAAATTTTAAATTAATTGTAGCATTATAAATGATAATAAAATAAAAAATTCTGAAATGTTTATAATATATTTATATATTTAGAAATATACAGCATTTTATATAATTATATATGTATATTGAATTACATTAATATCATGATTTTAAAATTATACATGTAATGTCGCACTTGATAGACTATTCAACAAGATTATAATTTAAAGAAGCAATTTTTAAATTTTAATATAAACTTTAATCATTTTCCAATCATACAATATAATATATTACTTACATATTTTAAAACTGTTGAACAGTTTATCACAATAATTTTTATTGTAGTATTTCTTTTGGCAACTTTTGCATATATTTTGATATTCTATTTTAATGTGTGTTAAACATACACATGTATTGTTAAAAGAAAATGATATCTTTCAACATTTTGTACATCTTTTTAGTAAAGAAGATAAATGTATATTTTATAAATTATATATATAATTATTATTGTTCAATTAAAAAATAATCATTTTGAAATAAATCCTATAAATTGACGTTAACTTTTAATCAACTTATATATTATTATATAATTGCATAAAACATATATTATTAGTATTATCTATAAAATTATTATTACATAAAGAAAAAAATTTTAACATGAAGTTAAATCTTATGCAATATTATTATCAATCTTTATTCCATAAAGTAGAAGTTTGAAAGACAAAGTTTAATATAAATACATTATATTATAATATATTTGAAACATAACTATTATGAAAAAAATTATATAAATAGACACATAATAAATCATACACATCAATGAGTAATTACAGAATAGACATATATTTTTTTTTAATTATAATTAAAAGTTTGCTAAGTTCCATTATATGTTTTATATATTTTAATAATTTAATATATAAAATTAAAATTTTGCATTTTTATTTATAAAGTATTGTAACTTAATAAAATTGAATGAAAATACATGAATATCAATATTTATCCTACAAGTTTCACAATATTGAAAGAACACTAATTAATGAATAAAAAATATCTGTTTGTTAATTTACAATATCTTAATATGATATTATTTTGAATTACAATAAATATAGAATTGTGCTAATTATTTAATTTGTTATTGCACAGCCATTGCATAGTAATATGGATTATAAATCAAATTTTTGTGATTGTTTTTATTATTATTATTATAATTTCTAAACAATAAAATAATATACTTATCGAGTATTCAATATAGAAATATGTAATATGTGTAAAAAAAATCAATATATTGCTATATGGTTATAAATAAAATCCAATCAACTTCATAAACACACACATATATATATAATTAACCATAAAATAATATGTGTAATACTATTATTTATAATTTATATTGGCACTACACACATTTTAGTGCATATAAAGTACAAAAACTTTAATGTCAAAAAAATGCTTACTTTTTAAAATTATGTTAAAAATTACTATCTATGGAACTTAGCAAAAAATGATTTAATAATAATATATTGCCAAAATTAAATAATATATAATATCCATATGTTTAATGGCTCTTTTATCTAATGAGAGCATACTATTCAATTAAATATTTTAATTTTTTATTTTATAATAATAATTATAAAAATGTAATTTATTGATTAAAAAATTTTATAAATTTTAATTATTTTGTAAATTTATTTAAATATAGATAAATGAAATAGATAATTGCTACTTCATATTGCAACTAATTTAACAAATATAACAAAAATTTTTTTGTAATTATTCATGATGTTTAAATATAAAATTTCCTCATATATAGTTTTAGAAATAAAAAAAATAATATATTATTTATTATAGTATGTGTTAAATTATATAAATAGATGTTTTTTTCTGGAAGAATAGTTTCTTATAAAATTTCTTATAATTGAAGCTTTTATAATGATAATGTAATATGAAATAACTAATAATATATACTTTCATACTATATTACAAGGTAAACTTATTATTTTAAAAATTAGTTTAATTTTATCATCAAAATATTTTGTTTATATGGCAATGAATAGCAGTAACTGAAATATAAAATTGTTGATGCCGATTCTTAATTGTATTTCTTCAGTTGAATAATTTATTATTCAATCCATATATATGTATAATTTATAATATTTATATCCTGAAAATAATAACTATATATTTAAGAATATTTTCAGGTATCTATGTAATAAATCTGTAAATTCAATGAATTTGTTATGGCATAAATATTATCAAGTTATCAAATTATAAAATAATTGTAATACAGAATTATAATATACAATAGTAAAACAATATATTGCATGTAAATTAAGATATATTACATTTTATAAGATTACTAAATAATATATATAAAACAGATAAAATAAATGAATAAAATATCATAAATTATATCATATTAATAAAATGTGAATATAATGTTTTTTTTACTGTATCTAAAATATTTTATTATGACTTCATTTTCTTGTAGTTTTATTACTTGTTGTGCATATTTTCAAGCACCAATTTTACAATTACAATTACAATATATTTATATATATGTTTCTTTTCTCATGTATCATTGAAAATGTATCGCAGATATATGATTATTTATAGTTCACCTTATGAGAATATAAATATATGCACATTTTTTTCATATTATATATTTATATTTATATAATTTTTATTGATGTGAGATCATTACAGTGAAAATTTAATATTAATAAATATTGATATCAAATATCATTTCTGTATCACTCTTATTAAGAATCGACATCTAAGTCATAAAATAATTTTTTTAATTTTGTTACATGGATCGATAGGGTCCTTGCATTTTTAAAAACTGAATTACTAAGGAAGGTCCTCCTGCAACTATTTCTGGTGGTATTTGAGAAAGTGGACAATTTTCAATTGACATAATACTGAGATTTGTGCATAGAGCTAATTCAAATGGTAAATTGTGTAAATTAGCATTATCATTTACATAAAGTGAATCTAAATTTTCTAATGTACCAATTTCTTCAGGTAAATAGTTTAGATTATTTTCTCCAACACTTAAATAAGTTAAATTTGTTAAATGTCCAATTGCTCTTGGTAAAGAAGTAACTTGATTGGATTGTAAAATTAATTTCTGTAAGTCTCTTAGAAAACCAATTTCAT